CGCCCCGCCCCGCCCCTCAAAGCGTAGCATATAGTGCCGTGCACTGTAAGCGCGCGCCGAGTGGCGGGGAGTGGCACCGCCGGGTCGCACCGCCGGGGGCTGCCAGAGAAAGACGCGTAAGATTATGCTGCTACACCCTGAAAAAAAAAGAAGCACAACCACAGCAAACGCAACACGCAACTTACGCAAGCAGAAATGTAAAACTGGACAGTCGCCGGTAAAAAAAGAAAGAAAAAGAAGCATAATGAAATGCCCAACAGAAAAACCTTTATTGTTTTCCTTTGAATGGAAAATGGATTTGGGATGACAAGCCGAGCGACAGGCTTTGCGTCACATGCGGAAGTGATGGAATCGGATAGAATGTTTCTGTGAGTGTGTGTGGGCCGGGCGTGCGTGCTCTCGCATGGGGTGCGCGGCGGTCCTGGGAGGTGGCTGAGGCAGCTGAGGCAGCTGAGGCAGCTGAGGCAGCTGCAGCGCCGTCCGCCGCCCCGTCCCCTAGGGACTGATGGATGAGGGACTGGCGCTGTGTGCCATCCCCCTCGCCTCCCCCTCGCCTCCCCCTCGCCTCCCCCTCGAGCCCAGCTTCCTCCGCCGCCCCCGGGGCTGCAACAGGTATCGCCGCAGAGAGCGTCGCCTCGCGGAGACGCACATCATTAGATCAGACTGTACGTGGGCTGCGGTATGGCGTGGCGTGGCGTGGCGTCCGCGACTGCCCCAAACAGTCGCGGCCCCGGAGCGGCCCGACGAATAATGCCGGTTGTTCCATACCCAGACAATCAGTTGCTTTTTAACGCATTGTCGCATTCAGTTTTGTATGTGCAATGACGTTTCAAAAGTTCGTGCGTATACAGTGCCTTGGGGCTTATTTCGCGTGTTCTATGTCGGAATTACGGCAGAAAAAGAAATAGAGAGATGGCCATATGAAAATATGGTGGTGATGGGCATATCCCAACCATGAAACGGACAGTACCAACCATCGATATGATGGTTGTTTGCACCTCATCGACCAAACACACCTGTAGTTTGTTTACACCATTTCATTTTTCTGCTACTACCAACGAGAGGGTCGATATGAACAGTTATTGGAGTGATCCGGGAAGCACGCGGCAGCCAAAAAGAGGGGCAGATGTTCAACAAAGACAAACGGGCGATAGCGGCGGCGGCGGCGGGGCGAGCGTGGCTAGCTCTGTTTGACCGGAAGGAGGGAGGGAGGGGGGAGGGGCAGGCAATGAGTGCGCACGACACACTACAACAGCTGAAGCTCTTCTCTGTGAGCGAGCGCAGCTGTGACACACCTCGCCACCTGGTTCAGCCGCAGCTGCACCGGCTGCGCGCGCGGGGCACAACACTCGTGGAGGGAAGTCCAGCGGAACGTCACCGCCGCCGCGGCCGCGCTGGTGTGCCGTGCCGCGGACTACGCTACGCTATGCTATGCGCGGGCGTTGCGTTGCGTTCCGTTCCGCTCGACCGCGACTCGAGCTGCTGGACCGCGCCGCGGCGGGAGAGACGGACGCGCGTGACGGCTTCCGGGGGGACGGACGCGGTCGCCGAAAAATGATTGAGAGGCGCGGGCAAATTGGACGAGTAAAATGGCGAGGAGGGCGCGACAAAGGGTGACGCACGAGGACGGCGATGATGTCGAGGGCGCCGGTGGGGACGGTGACTACGACGGGTATGATGAGGACAGAGTGGGCAAAGGTGACGGCGGGGACGACGAGGACGGTGACGATGTCGAGGACAGCGACGATGTCGAGGGCGGCGGCGGGGACGGTGACCGCGACGGGTATGATGAGGACAGTGAGGGCGAGGGTGACGGTGGGGACGACGAGAAAGGCGAAGACGACGACGAGGATGCCGGCCGCTGCCGGCCGAAACAACTTCGCGGTCGACACATTTGAGGAAACACTAAGGCAAACAGCACGACCCGGGGGCACACGGCGCAGGTGATTGTTTGACCCTGCCGTGTCGTGCGCTGCCCGTGGTGGGCCGGGCCTGGCGAGCGGTCAGCACCAATTGTCAGTCATTTTACGTCAGTCAACGAGCCCGGGGGGGTAATGATAGCTCTGCTGGGCGCTGTGTTCAGATAGACCCGGGGGGGGGGGGGGGCGTGCGAGTGCGAGCGAGAGAGGCCGGCGCTATGGCACCTCGCGCACCGCCTCGCACCCCCGGACTAAGGCTCCGCGGGGGGTTTCGATCGCAACGCGACACGCGCTTTAGGGCTGCATGGCTATACACTGCTCGCAAAGCCATACCGCGCAGCAGGCTTGTTAAGTTTGTTTTTTTTAATCCGTGTTTTTTTTTGTGTGTGTGTGTGTGTGTGTGTGTGTGTTTGTGTCGTGAGACGAAAATATAAATGATGGAAAATAATGGGAATGGGGAATGAAGGTGACTCCGGTCTGCTTGGCAGCGGCGCAGTTCTCGTTGCGCGCTGCCTCGTTAAGTCCGGGCGACAGCGATATAGTAGTGGCGCTAGTGCTGTGGGGGGCATCCACGTTCTGAAAAGAAAACATTTCAGTACAAAAACGAGCCGCCCTCCCGCGGCCCTGCTGCTACTTTTTTTTTTATTTCTCTCCACTTTCCCCTGACTTCGGATCGTACTACTGTACCGTTTGGTGTATAATCACCCTGGTGAGGGAGGCCAGGGGCAAAAGGGTCTCTCTAGAGTTTTTGTGCACGCGAGTTTGCGGAGGGGAGGGGAGGCGTGGTGAGCGTAGTGGCGGGCGTTTGGTGACGTCAGGACTACCGGTTCGCGTGTCTGCTGGGGGGAAGGGAAGGGGCGGCCCATGACGGATCAGTGTCCGCTGGGCTGGACAGCCCCAGACTTCTTCCCCTCACGCCGCCCGCCCTCGCGGGCCCGCCCGCACCCTCACCCCTCACTCTCCGGCATTGCCTGCAGTCACCGCCCGGCGCCCGGCTAGTGAGCCACGGGTGAGGACAGGACGGGACGGAAGGGCCGCTGCCGAGGGTGAGTGAGTACCCACACCGCCCACACTCCCCCCTGTCCTGGCCTTCTGTCGCAACAACGTTCTGTGAATAATAGACCTTGGCGACAGTGGTTACTGAGGTGAGGAACAAGTTATGGAGATTGCAACTTTTTTCGTTCGAACTATTTGAAAGGTGTTTGAATTTGTAGCGCAACAACGGACAATGTGTTTACACTGCGAAGTCGGAATTTTCTATCAACGTTAAACAATAATATTGCATGCTCTATCAGCCTATCTACATTCTGCATCCCTTCAGCCTGCCGGTCTACGGACTTATTTTTCAAAACCTAAGCGTACTTGTAAGTTTACGTAGTAAAGAAAGCTTTCTATTCGTAGGTTTCTTGGAAAAAATTAACTGCTGGGATACGTTTTCACTGAATGTGTTAAAGAGAGTCGACGGGCTATCCGTCACACCGCTACCCCTAATACCTGGTGGCTGATTGGTATCCCAGGTGTAAAGGAGGGGGAAGGGGGGGGGGTGACGGATCATCGAGTCACTTTAGCAGATTCAGTCAGTGCAGCATTCAGCTTCAAAGCAGTACAGTACTGCTCTGAAGTGGCAGTGCACCAAGGGTTTATCAAAGCGAACACCCCAGTCGTACGGGTTTGCATTTCCTCTTGGGCGCTCAGGGGCCACGGTGCCTGACGGGGTGTCGGGGAAATGGGCAGGCCTGCAACGCACGCAACGCTAAATGGAGCGTGTGGGAGTGTTTGAGGTGTATGACATGCCCGAATACTTTTGGGAGAGTCCCTCCAGTCCCACGCGGCCCGGCATTACCTAACGGGGTTTGTTTGTGCTCCCCAGACGCTCCCGCTGCCAAACACGTGCAAACGTATTGTTCCCTCGCTCCTCCTCACTCTGGGGCAGACGAACAGCAGTCGCCCGGGCCCAGGTGCCCCCTCCAGTGGAGCGGGGCGGGGCGGCGTGGGGCTTGCGATCGTCCGTCCGAGCCGGGGCAAGAGTGGCCCGGGAACAGCGATGAGGGACTTCCCTTCCCCCGCTTTTCCTCTTTCCGCTTTTTCCAATCTCTTAGGCCCTCTGAACGCGCGCTGGTGCGCTGCCGGGGCTCTCGATGGTCCTTAGCGCCGCCGCCGCGCCGCTGCGGAGAAAAGTTTCTCAGTGAGGAAGGGAGAAGTCGTTGCGGGGGCGGGGCGGGCCGCCGGCCAAAGCCGACGGCGACGGCCACGGCCAGGTCGCGGCGGCGCGGAGGGTGAGGGAGCGCCCTCTGACCCCGACCGAGGAGACGACCCTCACACGGCAGATCACCTCGCCGCGGTGCCGGGGGATGCTACTGTTATTCCGGCGGTCATTCCTTCACGGCGGCGGCGGCCTCCTCCTCATCTGAAGAAAAGTTTAGTGCCGCGGGTTGGAAGAGCTGCACGTGGTGCACGTACTTCGTGCGCATTGCGCACTGGACGTGTGATGGCACTTGTTATTTGTACGGCCTCTCCCTCGCAAAGTACCGGCGGTGCCGTCGTGACGTCCCAACGCTGTCGCCCACCCACGACTCACATCAGTGCACTCTTCGCCGCTCTGCCTCATTACTGATAAACCAAGTGTGCAACTGCTTGACACTTGTGAGTGTGCAACTGCTTGACACTTGTAAGTGTGCAACTGCTTGACACTTGTAAGTGTGCAACTGCTTGACACTTGTAAGTGTGCAACTGCTTGACACTTGTAAGTATGCAACTGCTTGAGACTTGTAAGTGTGCAACTGCAAGTTTAATACTTGCAAGTGTTCGACTCCTTTGCTGTGAAATTGCAAGTGTGCTGCCAACTCCCCTGTTGATCACTTCCCACATAGCGAGCGTTCAATCAAAGGAAAGTGTTGAACAGCGGAGTCGCACACTTGCACGTGCACAGCTTCCTAGTTCAACACTTGCAAGTATGCATCTACGCTTGTAAGTATATTCAACTTGCAGTTGCACACCACTTGGTTGATTGGTGATGACGCTCGTGGTTTGCGACAGCCTCGCCCCGGGCGGCACTGTGTTAGTGCGTGGCGATAGGGACGGCGCGCGCGCGGGTCAGCCGACAATGTCCACTATCGCGTCGTCTGCCGAGCGATATCACCAGGAAAGTGTCTTGAAATATTTAGAAAACAGGAGGGCAGATTCGGGGTCAGGTCAGTGGCAGCCCCGGCGGGAGGCCGGCGGCGGTGGCCGGCGCGTCCCAAGGAAAAAAGGCGTCCCTGCCGCCGGCCGGTCAAGAGTTGGGGGAGGAGATGGGAGAGGGGGGACGATTTTCCTTTGGATGCCTCATCGGGCCAAATCGTTCAGAATGGACCCTAGAACAAACGTGCAAAGTATGAAAAGATATTAATTTCGTGCAGTATTTTTGTTCTAAGCCAACGGAATATCTGGTAGAGATAGTCTTGGAGATTGTCTATAAATGAACTACCTCGGGTTACTCGGCGAGTGCCCTTGGACTAACCCTGGATTAATTCCATTAATCACCTTCGGATCAACCTTTCGATTACCCTCTGGATTGCCGTCGGATTATCTCTGGATCACCCAAGTCGTCGCCCCCTCGCGCGCGACGCACTCACTGGGACGCCGTATCGCCCTTCACGCGGCGCGCCAGACGTGTGCACAGCCGCCTGCGTCGCCGCGCACCTCCGTGTTGTCTCTCTCGGGGTCCTCTCCGCGCACAGACACGCGGCGCCAAGGCGGCAGCTGCAGCTGGCCCTGAAGCCCCCTTCCCCCCGTTCACACCTGACGTGTCTGCTGGGCAACGCAGCTCACACCTGACATGGTGTGTGCCGACGAGCAGCACGGGGCAGTGCGGGCAACCTCACACGCTGATAAAATAAAATATGCAACTGGCGAGCACATGCAAGTGCTCAGCACTACGTGGCACACTTTCAAGTGTTTGACCGGATATCTGAATCTGAACACAAAAAAGTGTCAAACAGTAAAGTTGAATACTTAGAAGTGTTCAACTTCAAATTTACTGTTCAATAACACCTGTAAGTGTGTGCACCATAGCATTGAGTTGCACACTACTACCATGTGTATGCCAGCACACTTTTGTTTTCAGTGCACGCCTGACCAGCATCACTTGTATTTTCGTTCGCGTGCCGCGGTCGTAGCGCCCAGCGACTGTCACTGGTGTCACTACTTCCACCTAAACAGGCAGATGCCGGACATGCTTTTAATCCCGTCGGGACCGGACTGTCGGTTAGCACTGCGAGTTGCGGTCCCATCAGTCACCGCCCTTTTCTGTGTGTGGCTCCCGCGCGGACTGACCAGCCGTCACCCGAACTGAAACGCAATTCCCCAAGTTCGCCAGTACCATGTTTACGATTTAGAAGTGGACATGTTGTGTGTGTACCGGGTGTCAGGGCTGCAAGCCTACTCGCTCACTCGCTCCATCCGGAAGGCTCCATGCCATGGCTCCTAGGATAGGCAAACCCGCCACACTGCTGCGTACGTACGTTCACAATATATTCCGCGCGTTCAGAGATTTTGAAACTGGTCACGCTTAGCCGACCCTACCGAGCTCGTCTAAAAAAACCGCCGACCTCACACAGCTCTAGGGTGACATAGCGAAACGCAAGCGCACTTCTCTGCTTGGCCTCTCTTCTGCCGCGATAGCTTAACGCTATTGTCATCGCAGTCGGACGGAAGATGGCCTCGTACACTGAAAACAATAACCACAGTGAACACCACTAACGTCATTACTGGTGTTTACCAGTGGGGCAACGTACTTCACATTTTCAAAATTCACGAAAATCAGTATACGGTAGCTCCGTACGCTGAACTCCGTTCACAGTTTCTCAAATGAAGGGATCGGACGCCGTTGTTGGTTCCAAACTCCACACCATTTATTTTTTTTACAGTGCAGGCGTTGCAGTGGTCTTTTTATACCCAAAGATAGTAGCATTTCTTTTCTTGAACCACAACATTTTTTTCCCGGTGCAGCTGCATCGTGACGTGTTCGCGACCAGTTTATCTGTTTTACCGTGCTCTTCGCAATGCTCAGCACGTGTCTGGTCGACCAGCCCCCGCGCCGCCCCCGCGCCGCCCCGCGCCGTTTATCTGTTTTACCGTGCTCTTCGCAATGCTCAGCACGTGTCTGGTCGACCAGCCCCCGCGCCGCCCCC